CGTGCGCATGCTCATGCACCCACGCCGCTATGTGCGCCACCAGCAGCGCACACGCGCCCTCGCCCGCAGCACTGGCGTGGCACTGGTCCACAGTCGCCAGGAACACCGGCGCGCATAACCGCGCCGTGCCGTCGCGACTCACCACCTCACGGCGCTCCCACTGCCCCACGCGGAACTCGTCTCCGAACAGCTCCCGCACGCTTGAAGCCGACGGTGACACTGGATCTGCCTCTGCCTCCCCCGCACTCGCTGCCTGCTGCTCCTCCAGAGGCTGCTTGTAAAGGGGATGCTCCTGCTCGGCCTCGAGTGCCTTGCGCCTGTCCCAGTCGATCTCGTCCCCCCCCTCCTCGCCGTACGCCTTGTGCAGCAGCGGCTCGCCCCTCTCCTGCAGCGACAGCGTGCGCAGGAACAGCAGCGGCCGCCGCAAAAATGCACCCACCCCCGCACCTCCTCCCCCTCCGCCACCTGCCCCACCTCCGCCCGAGGTGGCAGCAAGGGGCTTGGCTGGGAGGAAGGGCGGCAGGAGAAAGGACTTGGAGGGGGGAGGGGCGTCGGCAGGGAGGGGGTCGAGCGGCGAGATGGGGGACGAGTCCCTGCTGCCTTGGGCAGGGGGAGGGCGTTGCTCGCCGTGGGTGGAGCCGGCACAGGCAGCAGGTGCGAGTTCAGACGTGGCTTCTGGTGCTGACGATGCGGGCTGTGGCGCTGGTGGCGACGGCAGGTCGGGTGTGGGCGCAGGAGCAGGGGGCGGGCGGGGGGTGGAGGAGAAGAAGAGGAAGGGCGAGGTGAAGGTGAAGAGGCGTGGCACTAAGGGCGACCGCACAGGAGCAGTCGCTTGCTGCTCCTCCTCCGCTGCACCTCCCACACCCTCTGCACCCACGGCTCCCTCCTCACCACCTCCCTCCCTGCCTGCCTCCAGTGGTGTCATGTGCACTTCTTGCATTGCAGTCTGCCCTCTCTCACTATGCGCGCTGGAGGGCTGGGCGGGCAGGGAGAGGGTGCGAGGGGGCGAGGGCAGGGCGTGGGGCAGCAGGTGCAGCATGCGCATGCGTGTGTGCACGGGTCCTCCCACGTGCCCTCCCAGGTTCACCTCTGCCAGCGGCCCATAGCACAGCGCCTCCGCTGCTACCATCTCCTCCTCGCCCTCCTCACTCTCGCTCTCTGCCTGTCCTCCCTCCTCCCTTTCCGCATCCTCCTCTGCCTTCTCCCACACTGCCAGCTCACTCGTCAAGACCCCATTCTCCTCCCACGACATGTTGCTCCCTCGCTCCTTGTTCTCACCCTCTTCGCCCTCCTCCCCCGACCCCTCATCGCCCCTCCCTCCTAGCCCCGCCACCTGTTTCCCGCCTGGCCTGCCCCGCGCACGTCCTGCCCCGTCCACCGACACTGACCGCCGCCACACCCCTCCCCGCAGCACATCCAGCAGCCCCATGCCCATGCCCGAGCCCGTGCCTGTGCCCGCACCCGTGCTCGCGCCAGCGCCTGTGCCCACAGCTACATCCACACCCCCAATGCCGGACGCCCCTCTGTTGTCTGCCGATTCGCCTTCCACCTCTGCCACAGCAGCGCGATCTTCTCCCTGCTGCTCCATGGCACCGACTGTCTCCCTCGCCTGCCGCCCCTCCATTCCCTGCCCGCCAAGCCCACTCTCCCCCTCCTCGTCCTCGCCATCACTCGCCCTCCGCTCCACCTGCCCCCACCCTGTATCGCCGTCCGTTCCCTCCCAATCGGCCTCCTCCTGCTGCGCACCTCCATTGCTCTGCTCCGCGCTGCCGCTGCCAGCAGCCCCATGCCCTCCGCCCTCGCCTGCCCTGCCCGCCGCGTCCAGGGGCAGCGCGGGGCTCTTGCTCTCCCGGGTGCGCCGCTGCCACCCCCACAGCCCCCCCAGGTGCACCCCGCCACCCCCAGCCTCCCTCACTCCCGTCCCTGCTGCTGCTGGCCCGCCCGCGGCTGGAGTGGGTGGCACTGTTGCCGGTGCTGAGGCTTGGGCCGGGACTGGTGCTGCCAACTGGAGTGCGGCTGGGGATGGGGGGGTGGATGCTGCTAGCGGCAGCTGAGTGCACTCCACTGTCACCTGCCCGCGCACAGCAGCCCACACACACACAAGCAGAAACGCCTCAGGGTATTGTTGGCACACAGACGCATGCTGAAACGGAAAAGCGAGCATATGGCTGAATGGAAGGGGTGGTGAGAGGGTGCCGGGCAGCGCGGGGGGGCCAGGGGCAGTGGCGTGAGTGGCGACCTGCAGCAGGCCGACGGGGGGCGAGTCGGGGGGCGCGAAGAGGAGCAGCAGGTGGTGCGTGAGGGGCTGCGTGGAGAGCGGCGCGGCGAGCGGCGCCACGTCCAGCACCACCGACGCCACCTGCTGGGGCCGCTCCCTGGGCCTGCTGGGTGCATGCTGTAGTGCAACAAAGGGGGGAAATGGAGGGAGTGGGGCAGGTAAGGCAAGAGCTAGGGCTACAATATATAGGAAAAAGACACGAAATTGCATACTTGTGTTATGAAAGACATGGAAGAATGTTCAGTGGAGATGGGATTGACACATGGGAGATGCGCCCTTCACAAATCCCACCTTGTGCACGAGCAGCACCACCTCCCACGGCTGGAAGAGGCAGCCCTTGCCGCACGCCTCGCCCTGCCCGCGGGCGGCGCGCAGGGCGGCGGGGCAGGGCAGCAGGTGGCAGTCGTGCGCGAAGCCCTCCTCCCACCGCACCATGCCGTGCGGCCCGCGCGGCGGCTGTGCGCTGCTGCACCCGCGCTTCACGGCGCGCCCGAACATGGACCCCATCAGCCCCGCGCGCGCGCCCTTCCACCGCACCTCCACTGCCAGCAGCGCTGCTTCCGCCCCCTCCTCGCCCTCGCCCGCCGCTGCCTCCGCAACGGCTGCTATAACGGGTGGCACGGCAGCAGGCGCAGCACTGGCAAGATCGCAACTGCTGGCCTTACCTGCAGCCGCTCCTTGTACTGCTTCCACACTCGCTGCCTGAGCCTCCACCGCCACTGCCGCTTCTGCTGTCGCTGCTACTGCTGCGCCTGCTCCTGTTGATGCGGCTGTTGCTGCTGCTTGCTGGGTCTCCGACGGGCCTGCCCGGTCAAATGCGCCGAGAGTGGTTGCTGTGACGGCAGGGGCATCAGCCGGCAGCAGCATGGAGTAGGACCCGCTCTCACCGCTCCACTGCCCATACCTCTCTGCAACAGCTGGTCCATCAACCGATCCCGCGTCGCCTGGGCCGGCGGGAGGTGCGCTCCGTAGGATGCCTTCAAGCACGGGAGGCAAGGCGCCGTCCGCCGTCCCCTCCGCTGTGAGCGGGGAAAACCCGCCAGCCTGGTGGCGAGCTGAATCCGCGAGCGCTGCGAGGGCGGAGAGCACTGCGGGCGGAAGGGCTGCTGGGGATGCGAAGCCGAAGGCGTGGTCGACGGTGAGGGAGACGGCCACGGACCGAGGGCCCAGCACAGCGCTGGCCGCCTGCTGCTGCTGCTGCTGCTGCTGCTCCTCCCGCTGCTGCCGCTCTTGCTGCACCTCTTCCTCCTGCACCTGTTGCTCCTGCTGCTGCACCTGTTGCTGCTGCTGCTGCTGCCCTGGCTGATCGTCCGGCCTGTTGGAATGCATGCGCACGGGGACGTCGCTCGGCTCCCCGCACTGTGCCGCAAGGGCGGCCTCGCTGGCGCGCTCCTCGTGGTCGACGCCGCGAATCCACGGGTGCAGCTGCGGCAGCGACACGGAGCGATGGCTCATCAATGCCATTCTTGTGTGACAGGCGAAGTGACCAAGCTGAGCAACGCGAAACTCTATCACGACGCAAAGTCACGACAGATCATGAAGAATGTTTCACATTCGGATCGCCATGATGCTCGACAATCTCCATTGCCTCCCTTCATGGCGCCAACGACTCACGCGGACACCTGTCATTGTCACGCAATGCTTCAAAAGAATCAATGGCTCTTCCGCAACCAATGTCCCAATATCCCAGCCATATAATGTTTGCCTACTACTGTAAATTCCTGTCTATTCTCGTATTTGCTGAAGAGAATGGGGAAGTGGGTGGCCTTCACATCTTCTCATTGGTTGTCGCGCGTCACACTCAGGTCGAAATCAAGGAGGTGCATGAAGGGGGGGGCGAGTGACAGGGGGAGAGCAGTAGAGTTGGATGGCGGGCGCGGAATCAACATCGCTGGAGGGGGGGTGCTGATGATGCGGGCGGGATCTCAAGATGAGTGGCATGAAGGGACGGTGGTGGGGTGGGGAACGGAAGGAGCGCGTCAAAAGGGATCGGCAGGAAAAAGACGACCTCAAGCGGGTGGGGTGGGGTTGGGGATAGAATGGGAGTGGTGCAAAAGCGCAGGACACACATATCGCGGATCTGCTCTCGTGTCCCCCGGGGTTCGCGCGCAACCATTATCTCCCAGCGAAGGCACAGGGTTACCTAGGTTCATCGTTTGGGGTCGAATCGCAGAGAGTGTGCAGCTGCCCTATGTTTTGGGAGAGGGGATAAAGTACAAAATAGAATACGAATTCTTGGCAGGGCCGTGCGAGAACCTTTGATCTCGATTGGCATGGCGAGGGTACTAGTGTTACGCTGCCTCTAAAGTGGTGCCCTGGTCCAGCTTACAGGTAAGACAATTAGCAGATAGGATATGCAGTAAATGTAGTACATACATGCTATGGCAACAGGTGCCTTGGCACATCCAGAACGGAGTGCCTTGAAAGGAGTGGACCGCGAAGGAGTGAGGAGTGGTCCTCCAGAATCCTGATTCATAACGGTCGATGGGTCCAGCCCAGCATCGCACATCACCATGCAAACCAAAAACAAGCATGTCTTGTGCAGCTGCGGCAGCGCAACACCACACGCACGCACCCTTACGTGTGCCGTAAATGCATTTATTGGATCACTTGGCAACAAAGCATGCCGCTCCTGCAATCCCCATGGGACCACCTCGGCATCGTACCGCTCATCACCTCACCACATGGCACTTCACCTTCATACGTGCACATTGTGCTGTAATTAGCTATTGGGCCGCCACGCTGACATGGCAAGCAGTGGTTGGTCCTTCCAGTTGAGAGTGAGGCTGTTGGGTTGTTCTGACGACAGCGAGTACGGGCCCTTGTACCTGCCATGGGGGAGCGGAAGGCAGCAGCTCAGCAGAGGAAGAAGAGAGAGCACTACAGGACAGAACAGTGGCATCACAAGCGGACACGCATGGATCAGCCAAGCCCAGCACACGCACGTGGAGAGCAGGGCGGTGGCGGTGGCCACCACCTCACGGCTGAGCGGGTACCCCACGAACCCGGCGCGGTGCACGCGGCGCTCCCACTGCCCCAGCGGCTCCTGGCGCTCTGTGCGGTCCTGCCCCTCACACGCCACCACGTTCACGATGGCGCGCCCCAGCACGCGCTGCTCAAACAGCCGCCGCTCCGTCGAGTCCGCGGGCACGGACGCGTCGAGGGCGTCGAAGATGGATGCGTAGTAGTGCAGCGCCTCGAGGAAGCGGCTGAGGAAGAAGGGCGAGTTGTGGTTTGTGTTCTGCTCCACCAGCGTCGTCACCGCGGGCGCCAGCGCGCGCATGGTGCGCAGCACGGCGGCGCGCGGGTTGGAGGGCGTGACGGACTCGTCCATGAGGTTGTGCAGGCGCAGCGCACAGTTCACCACGAGCACCTCGTCCGCCTCGCAGCGCACCATGGATGGCTGCAGGTCCGGCAGGTTTATGGGGATGAAGTTAAACGTGAATGGCACCCCCCAGCTCTGCGCCACTTTCTGCAGCGCTCAACACGGGATGGAGGGGATGGGAGGAGGGCAGGAGAGGAAGGTCGCGTCATGTGTGAGTGATGCCGAGGCTGTGATGTGAGTTGCCTCTTGTGGGTATGTTAGGAACGATAGAGGAGGTGAAAAGGGAAAAAAAGAAAAGAAAAGACGAACGGGAGGAGAGGGAAGTGAAGGAAGGAGAAAGCGGGCGGTTGGTTGGTGGGGAGAGAGAGCGAGAGAAGGGGAGACGCACGCGGAGGCGCTGGCCGGCCTGGCGGAGGCAGTAGCCCTTGTGGATGCCCGCCACAAAGGGGCGAGAGGAGGGCGATGGGTGGTGAGACACTGAGACCGCTAAGACTCACCCTTAGGCGCTGGCCGGCCTGGCGGAGACAGTAGCCCTTGTGGATGCCGGCCACAAAGGGGCGGTCGATGCCCGTTATGCGCAGGTGCGGTGGGCCCCCCGGCAGCACTGCCAGTGCCTGGATGAGTGGCGGCCACTGCACGGCGTGACCCAGCCCGAAGTCCACTATGTGCACCTTGCGCGCTCCCTGTATCGCCTCCAGTATGGCGCTGTTGCATGCCACGTGCCCAAACGTCAGGTACGGTGACGCACTCACCAGCACCTGTGGGTGTGGGTGCCGTAAGGGCAGGGGGACATGGGGGTGTGCGGAGTGAAGGCTGAGGCAATTTTGCACGAATTGAAGTGTCTATCAAGAACCCCCCTGGCTATGCAATACTCCTTCCTTCTGGCAAGACTACCACAACACCTTTCCTCCTTACAGCCACCGCCCCGCCTCAGACGTTCCAATAGTATCGCCACCTCAACCGCCCTCACTCACAGGCTCACCGCCCCCATCCCAACCGCCCTTACAACCCCCCCTTCACCTGGAAGGCCCACCCCTCCTGAAGCGGCTGGCTGACCTCAAAGGCGCGCAGCAGCGGGGCATCGCAGTCAATGGAGCGGTAGATGCCCAGCGAGCCTGCTGCCCCCGCGCCGTCACTGCCGGGGCAGCCGGCGCCCGTGGGCGCCGTGCCGGAGGCGCGGGCGAGCAGCCCCTCGAGGAAGTAGGCGGACACACGCTGTGTGGCGTCCCCGTACACCGACGCCACCGCTGTCAGGCGCTCCACCAACACGTGCACCTGGGGGGGGCGGGGGGGAAGGGGGGCAGATGGGAAGGATGGGTGCGTGACGGGATGGGGGAGATGGCCGCAAGGCGTTTCACCAGCACGTACACGGCGCAGGGCGGTGGCATGGGCGCGTGATGGCATGGGGGGGATAGGAGATGGCATGCGAGAGATGAGACGCACCTGCTCTTGTCACGGCCACAAACCGAGCTCGGCTCTAGCCGTGCCTCACCGCACCTGTACCTTCTCCCCCCTCACCTTCTCCTGCTCCCCCCTTCTCACCCTCTACCGTTCGCCTACCACTCACGCGGTGGTGGTCGCCGGACACAATGGCCTTGGCGATGTCCAGCAGCATCTGAATCACCGCCGACCGCCCCGTGCCCGTGCCGCCACTGCTGCTGCCTGCTCCTCCTCCTCCTGCCGCCGCCTGCACCCCATGCTGCGACTGCTGCATCGCCTGTCCCTGCTGCTGCCCCTGCTGTTGCCCTTGCTGCTGCCCCCCCTGCTGCCACCCCTCCTGGGAGCCGCCCGGGCTGTTGAGCGCAGCCCGCTGCATCTGCGCCATCAGTTCCTCCGCGCGCCCTTGGCTATCCGCGCGCCCCTGGCTCTCCCCCGACCTCGCACTCCCCGTCCCCTCAACTCCCCCGCCCTGCTGCCCCGCGCACTGCCAGCCATCCCTGGCGCAACTGGTGGGGGGATGCGCGGGCGCCATGCCTTGGGGGGCGGGCACCATTCGGTCCACCGCCATCCCCAGCAGCTCCTCCTCGCCCATGCCCGCGCCCATGCCCATGCCTGCGTCCCCTGATGCGCCGTGAAAGGCGCCCGGAGGAGCGGAGAGGAAGGCGGGGTTGAGATCGTGGGGGAGCAGCGACTCCATCTCGTCGAAGGCGAAGGTGAGCTCGTCCAGTCCGCGGAAGAAGTCCGCCTCCATGTACTCCGCGCCCAGCGCCACCGGCTCCACCTGCTGCACGCGCGCCATCCACTCCGCCGCGCTCAGCTCGCGCAACTGCTCCGCCACCGAGTTCGGCCCGTGCCGCGGCCACACGCCGCCGCCGCCCGCCTGCCCCGGCACGAAGGGGCACGGTGCGGGGGAGCCGCCGGGGCTGGGCTGGCCGCCGGAGGTGGAGGGGGAGGGGGAGAGCTGCTGGCAGGGCTGGCCCGCGGAGTTTAGCGGCACGGCCGCCGCCTGCGGTTGCTGAAGTGGCGTAAGGCCATTGGAGTGCGACGAGGACGAGCTAGCGGACGGCCCAGGCGACGTTGTGCGATTGCCCTGCGACGAGGCGCCAGAGGTGGCGGGCGGAAGGGAGCAGGGATAAGAAATCGGCTGCGGCGGAGGGCGCGGCTGCGGGGCGGGTTGGCGGGGGTCGGAGGGCGGAACGAGCGGCTCCTGCGTGTTGCCCCACAGCTGCTGCAGCGTCGCCGTCAGATCCCGCGCCGTGCGTTGCGGCGGCGGTAGCGACGGCTGCTGCTGACCGCCGCCGCGCGTGTTGCCGCCGTGCGAGTGCGTGTGCGCTCCTTGGTGGCCGCCGCACGGATGATCTGAACGGGCGGGGAGCACGGGGGAAGATAGAACGGGGCGCGGGGGAGGAACGGGGAGCGCGGGGAGCATGGATTCATGTGAGAGAAATGTTGCACTACTGACGGTAATGAAGACGGGGATACAGAAGGATCTCGTTACCGAGACACGGTACGAATACGCACGAACTTTAAAGACGGCTTAAGAGCCAAGGCGACGGGCGGACGGCACGGACCTTGCACGATGCGGCACGTCTTGAGCTGCACGTGCATCCACGCGCGCTGCAGCCGCTGCTCCAAATCCGACGGCACGCCCTCTCGTTCACCCGCCATGACGAGGGGGGCTCGCGTTACGAACAGATTCTGTCGGCAAAGCAAAATCTAAAAGTCACTACAAACCACTACGGTGCGGAGCGCAGCTATGGCTGTGCGCGTTCCCTGTGTGTCGATTTTCTTGCTATGATGCCTAACGAACAAAACGGACAAAAGCGAGGCTGTAATAATGCCTTGCGCACACGCCGCATGGTACTAATATCGTTCAAGAATGGCTCACCTCAGACCTCTTTTGGGTGTATCGTACCGTACGACGCGTGCAGGCGTACACCACAGTGCTTACCGCATTCCCATGTCCTACAGTGAAATTCCAGTTAGACTTCCCCTGCTTCACAATGATTCATTTTTTACACAACGCTTACTTTGAATGAGCATGAGTGCGTTATCATTCAAGAAACTTTGTTTTATATACTACTAAGACATGATTGACTACCCTCAACCATGTTTCTCCTTTCTGTGGAGCCAAGTGGGTTTACCCTTATTTCACATTCTAAACCTTTCAAACCATCTCTCACATCCTAGTGTTGTTTATCATGCTGGAACTGGTGACCTCGCACGCTCCTTGACAGTCATGTACAGTCCCTGTAAAAGCAGAAAACATGAAGAATGGTGAGGAGCTGCAGAAGGTGCAGACAGGTGCAGTAAGGTGCAGTAAGAGAATGTGGTATGCGTACGTTCTTGGTATGGATGGTGGCGCCGGTGGTCATGCTGATGTCCTGGTTGGGCACGAGCGCGAAGTCAAACTCGCGGACGAGCACCGACAGTGCACAGATGGCCTCCAGCATCGCAAACTGGTCCCCTATGCACTTGCGCGGGCCGCCGCTGAACGGAATGTACCTGGTAATGGGGGGGGGGATTCACAGGGAGTATAGCATTGATGTAACAGGGCATGGCACCAGGGACCTAATGGGATCACTCAGAAGCTGGCAAAGAACGAGCAGGTGCGGGCTAAGCAGTTGCATTGAGTGAGATTGGGTGACACAGCGGTGCAGTGCGCGCACCTGTAGTCGGTGTTGACCTCGTTGGGCACGGGCGCATCGAGGTCAAACCGCTCCGGCATGAACTCATCCGCGCGCTCCCACACCTGCCATGCCATGCACCATGCCGTGCCATGCACCATGCCGTGCCATGCCATACCGCGCAGGCAATGCCACGTGGGTCGATACCATGAAAATAAAGTTGGGACGTTAGTAAAGGACCTCAAATGGGATCAGGGAATGCGATTGCAGGTGAAGGGAATGAGGCCAGGGTGCAGAGATGAAAGGGGTTGGATGAAGAGGGAGTGAGAGAGAGGCATGTGTGCACGTAGGCACCTGCGGCGAGTGGTGGATGTTGTAGACGGAGATCATCATGTCCTGCCCCGGCTGCACCTTGTACCCCCCCGGTAGCACATCAGCCACCACCGCCCTCCGGATCAGAATCTGCATGCACAGCCCACGCAGGGGAAGGAAGGCAGGGCAGAGGGCGGGCAGGGCAGAGGGCGGGCAGGGCAGAGGGTGGGCAGGGCAGAGGGCGGGCAGGGCAGAGGGCAGGCAGGGCAGAGCAGAGGGCAGGCAGAGAGTGAGTCACACATGAGGACCCACCTCCTGACAGGCACACAAATGCCAGCAGCAGCGAGCAGCAGCGCTTGGTGCGTGCGCCTGTTAAGCACTGCCAACAAGGACACATACAGCCGTGCATGCACCGTGCAGCAGCACCATGTGCACAAACCATGGCACATCATTCCTTGTCCACTCGTCCAACCAATCACATTGTATGCAGTGACCAGGAGGGCGGGTGTGAAGGAGTGCAGAGTGGTGCAAGGAGCCGTTGGGTGGTGCAGTGCAGCGTAGAGGTGCTTGCGTTGTGCCTCCTCGCAATGCACAGACCGAGAAGCCCCAATCACATAGATAGCACTGACCGGGGGGTGGGGGTAGAGGCGCATGGACTCGTTGATGCAGCGCGTGAGGTACTTGAGCTCCCTCGTGTCCGCCAGGCTCGGATGGCTCTTCCCAGCGAGAACCCTCTCCGCCTCCTCCTGTGCCTTGGCCATCTTCTCTGGGTGCTGCCATGAGAAGTGCCGGGGAGGGGGACAGCGGATGGGCAGCGGAGAGAGGGGGGAAGAGAGAGCGGATGGAAGGGGAAGGGGAGGCGAGGCGAGGAGGGGTGGCCACGGGGTGAAGCAGAAAGATAGATCGCGTGAAAAGGGTGGGTGTGAAAATGAGGGATGTTCTGTGAAAGAGGTGTGTACGTGTACGTTTATGCGAGAGGAGGGTGAGTGTGAGAAAAGGGGATGAGTGTGCAAAAGGGTTGGACGGAGTGTGGAAAATGGGGTAAGCGTTTGAAAGGTGCGAATCCATGTGAAACGGAGGCGAGTGAGTTAAGGCGGGGGTGAGTGCATGGAAAAATGGTGAATGTGCTTATAGCTAAGGAGACGAGGGGGCGTGGGGAGTGTGGGAGGGCGGGCGTGCCTGGGCGAGGAGGTAGACGGTCCAGGTGAGCACGGAGCCCGTGGTCTCATGGCCCGCCACCAGCATGGACAGCAGGTCGTCCCGTAGCTGCACGCTCGACACCTGCTCCATGCCCGTGCATGCAGAGGGGGGTTGGAGAGAGGGGGGGGGTGGGGGGGGAGAAGGGGGGGAGGGGAGGCGCGGATGATGATTCATGCGTGTGTCCAGCACGTGGAGCGCACGGGGTGTGGCCGTGCGCATAGCTGAGCAGCAGAGACGACAAGGAGCAGAGTGGACACACGGTGGGCATGGGAGGGACGTTGCATGCGAGCTCACCTCTTCCCTTGAGGCGAGGAGGAAGCGCAGGATGGAGGGGTCGCTCTCGTTGACGTACTCCTCGTCGTCCCCCCGCCGCTCGTTCTCCGCCTCCACCATGCGCTTGCACTGCGCCACCAGCTCCTCCACTGTCTCGCGGATCACCCTCACCGCCTCCGCCGCCTTGCGCTGCCGCGGCACTATCGCGCACAGCAGTGGCACCTGCGCAGGTGGCGGAGGCACGAAGTGTGGGGGGGTAGGGGGAGGAGAGAAGGTGGGGGAAGGGAATGGGGGAGGTGTGATGGCATGGGAGCGTCGTTACTGCTGGAAGGGGGAGCTCCAGCGCCTCGCTGTGAGCAGCGATGGGCTTGGGGAATGCATGGGCGGTACGAACTGCACTGCACACGCATCTCTGCCTGTGCCAGGCTGTCGGCCACAGTCTGACAAAGCTTCGACTGGCCTGACAGATTGAGAGCTTTGCTCTTTTTCTGCTAAGCTTATTTGCAATCCATCTCCAGTGTTAGGTAAGTGGCGGCCTACTTCGGGTTCACAGCACCAACCGCCAACCGCCTCACCTGTCTGTACCGCAATGCGCGCGCGCACCTGCCAGTAGGGGAGGATGTCGGTGGAGCGCGACTCGGTTTCCTTGAGCGCGGTGTAGACGGCCTGGATGAGCGGGGAGTCGGTGGAGAGCGAGTCGAACTGGAAGTTGAACACGGCCAGTCCGATCACGTCCAGCGTCAGCTGAGAGAACATCGCCTCCATGTTCACCTCCTCGCCGCGCGCCGCGCTGCCGCGCAGCTTGTCGACCAGGTGCTGCGTGCTGCTGGCGAACACCGTCGCCACCATCGTCTCCAGATACCGCCGGTGCAGCGACGGCCCCACTGCGCGCCGCCGCGCCTGCACGCACCACATGCCACGTGTCGGGTGTGGGTGCACGGGCAAGAGTTTCTACGTGGATCGTGCAGACGCGAGTCACGGCGCAACGGAAGGAGAGCGCGAAGGAGGCAGCGAGCGTGGGGTGCAAAATGCGGCAGCGGGGGTGCGGAATATGGCAGAGCGCGTAGAGAGCGCGTAGAGAGCACGTACGGTCCAGAGGTCGCCTTCGGCGATGGCGAAGCCCGAGCCGAAGAGGAACTCCGCCACCTCCGCCACGAGCCCCTTGGCGTATATCGACCCGTACCCCCGCAGCACGTGCTTCGCCGCCTCCGGCTCGCCGATTATCACGAAGTTGCGCGGCCCCGCCGCCAGCCTGCGCGAGGGGGTTGTGGGGGAATGACTCGGGCATAGCTGGCAGGCCAACGGGCCTCCTCGGCAAGTTGTGGAGCCATGCATGTTCTCCTGACAACAGCGGGCTCTCTCACAACAGTTGTTTCGCCTGACAGCTTTTTTTCCTGACAATATTAAATCCCATTGCCTCATTCTCCTATCGGAGCATTCTCCTGGACATCAATTGGTCTCTCAGACTTGCAAGCGGACAACAAGGCCATTGCACTTCATCTCTTGCACCGACATTCACGCCATTGCCGTTCAGGCACCCCAAAAGCGATCAAAGTCGATCGCAAACGACCCATTCATGCGACTCACCGGTAGACGGGGCCGGACTCGAGCATATGACTCACCGGTAGACGGGGCCGGACTCGAGGCATATCACTGACCGGTAGACGGGGCCGGACTCGAGCATATCACTGACCGATAGACGGGGCCGGACTCGAGCATATCACTGACCGATAGACGGGGCCGGACTCGAGCATCCACTTGAAGAGCGGCAGGAAGAGCGCGCCGCCCAGCAGGTCCTTCACGTCGTCCAGCTTCGCGTCCGCCACGGGAATGCCCGAGTCGTCCGGGCCGCGCAGCTTCTCGAACAATGACGTCAGCCAATCAGGGCTCACCCACGTCATCCCCGCACCCGCCACATCCTTATTGCTTCCTGAGTCATCTTGTCTACCAGCCATGGCCACCAGACGACCTTTCCTAGCGGCGCCATTCCCTCGGTTTCTACGTGACGCGATGCGAGCGGTTTGACGAGGCTCGCCTGTGCAGAAAGACGACGACGAGGAGGCGGCTGCGGACGAGCCCAGACGTAGCGACACTGCGTGCGAGCAGGCAATTCCTGTAACGGGAGCCATGCTTCGGATGCTCGTGACTTGCAAATCAGAAATCCTGATTCTCAGGAAATTATCACCTGCAGCAAATGTTAGGAGCAGCAGGTGTTGTGCTGCGTGAAATGAACACAAACCAGTCACAGAACTCCGCGAAGATCCCAGTGCCGAGGATAAAAAGTGTGGAGCCTCGCTGGAAAAGCAACCCCCAAAGCAATCCAACCCCGGGTGTGCCACGTCTGCACTACGTGGTAGCCCTGTCGAACCTTACCGACAGAGCACGCCCAGGTGGCAAAGAATCCAAGCCATCGCGAATGGCTTGCACCGCACCTTGTTGTGCTGGCCTCATCTCCTTAACGAGGATATTGCCTGCACTTCTAGCCTCTTAACTTTTCCATATATTTCTCCGCATTTAACAAACCGTTTCACTTACAAACCATTGCTGCATTCGATAATGACTGTTAGTGAATGGGTGCGTAGTGTTACGATGTGAAGTTTTATGAGAAGGCATTCCTGTATGCTGCAGGAGCCGACTCTACCGAGTACGAAGTTGAGGAGTCAGAAAGAGCTGAAGCGACACAGCAACTGTCAGACCAAGACCGATGCAAACAACTAAAATGAAAAGAGCGGGAACAGGTTATGAAACGGGTTCCCGCGTCGCACGGTTTTCTTTTTGAATTCAGTCACAATAAGGGAATGTACCCCTTAGAATACATGGCTAGCCTAGGTCCTTTCGTATTCCCTTGTACTCTTATATAAACCCGATGTATGCATGTTATTATCATCTCAGTAATTTACATTCACTCTGACCTGAGGTCTAAACTTCCGCTGCAATACCACTCTGCGATCAACCCTGAGCGATCCTTTGCTAAGTCCCACTTGGGATTGTAACATGGTATGAGAGCTACTCAGGGATTCTTCGCTACCTCACTTCCGCAAAATTCGCCGAATCAAGACCTGGCGAGTGGCACACGCTCCAAGACCAAGATGGCCGGAGGATCCGGAGGCCAAGCAAATCTGACGGCTGAAGGACAACCCAACCCAGCTGCGACAAGTGAGGCGACAACCACGATCGGCACTGCCGCCCTCGAGCAACTTTTCGCTCGACTTTCAACTATGGAGAAAGAACTCCAAGAACTGCGCAAATGCGATGCGGGAATCTCTTCCCAACCAGCACAACCTGGACAACCGGCTGAGAAAAGCCGTGATACCGCCGCGCACACCTTCTCCCTCGACACAAACAAATCAGCAACAACTGCCCCCCGTCCAAGCGATGAGGCTATCAACTCTGCGCAAGCACGCTTTCTCAGCGTTTCAAAAATTAAGACTACTGCCGCGTTCGACGGCAAGGATTTCTACACATGGAGTTTTGAGCTGGAGCTCCTCCTACAAACAGCGCAGATCTACCATTACTTCGACGGCTCTTACTCTAAACCGGTTGAAAACACCGACGTCGCCAGGGCTCAGTACTACAGTGAGTCCCTCATGGCCTACAGCGTACTACTACGCAACATGACGCCTGCGGAACAACTCAACATACGCTCCTACAAAGAGAGCGACGCTCCAGCAATGGAAGTCTGGAAGCACCTCGTTGAAGTTTACCAGCCGAAGGATTCGGTCACCTCCAGCAGGCTTCTCCAGCAACTCCTGGAGATAAAAATGGGGCACGGGGAGAAGGCAAATCCATATATTAACCGCTGTCGCAACATCCGTGACCAGATCACGAAGCATGGGAGTACGATCTCAGAAGAGATCTTCGTCAATATAGTCCTTCAAGGACTCGGGCCTGAGTGGAAGCCCTGCAAAGCGTTACTCCGACAGCGAGGAACAATTTCAGAAGCCGCGCTATGCGCCGCACTCCTGTCTGAACAGCAAGACATGGACTCAAGCAGAACAAGCTCCGCGCCGCGCCGAGAGCGCCTCGCCTTCTACACGGACAACCGAGAAGAGCGACGACAACCAAGGCGCCATTACTGCAAAATATGTAAAGTTTTCGGACACTCAACGGATCGATGCAAATCCCGATCCAACTACCGCCACCCAAATTCCACTCACCACAACAACTGGGTCGGCCGACAAGACGCTCGTCATCCTCAATCTCAGCAAGCTTGTCCTCCTGCGCAACACCAACAAAATCAAGGACCACAGTCAGGAGCTCCCAGGAACGTCATCGCAAATATGACAGCACGACGTCGACGCACCACTGAACCTGACGAGGAGAACGAAGTCCAAGGAAGATTACTGGAACTAGAAGAGGGATGGAATGATCCCTTCACCGAGGATCACTACTACCTGTACGACGAAGACGAGCAGGACTGGAATCTTCCAATCACACTGCGGGAAAGCCCGCCTCACGAAAATCAGCACTACGTACCAGTGGGCTGGAAGGAAAACGAAGATCCTCACTTCCACAGGCGCTTCAAGACCACCCTGGTAACCCCACGACTGGCGCTGCTGCTGCGCCACAACAACACCGACAACTACAACACCTGGTACCTTGACAGCTGCTGCGGTCAGCACATGGTGGGGTCCACGCGCTATGTCTCTAACCTAAGTCGCGCCCCTGCAACTTATGTCACCGTCGCCAACAACGAACAACTGCGCGCAAACTCACAAGGACTCGTCGTCCTGCAAGCAGGAGACAGTGACACACACATCTCGTTCAACGACGTACTCTACGTCCCGAACCTGCGCTTCAATTTGCTCTCCGCTGGACAACTACGCGATTGCGGCGTCATCATCCACACGGACCTCGCAACGCGCGACCTCATCCTCACCTACGCTACCCCGGACACTCCTCCTGAGGCATTCAAGTACCTCGGACGAGCGCGTTCCATCAACGGGATCTATATCCTAGACTTCGACATACCTTCCTGTCAAGCCTCGTCAGACGAACTCGTGGACCTTGTCCCCCTCGACTTCGCCTTCATGAACAAGGAGTCTTGGGAGCATCCGGATGGGAGACCGTGGGTTCGCCGAAGTCCTCACCCGCGTGAAATTAATCTTCACGACACTGACGCTCACAGACTGTGCACCACCTGTCACACGCCAACCGCAAGTCAAACGGAGCAAGTGGAAAGGGAGCAAGCGGCAATTCAGGAAGCGGAAAGCGCTGAGACTCAACCAGCAGGCATGACTACAGAAGAACTCGCCGTATCGTCACACCGCATATTCGGCGAGCCAAACGAAGAACTTGGGCAACAACAGCAGGAGAGACCAAGGCCTTACTCAGACTCCCTACGATTCGTCCTCGAAGCCAACACACGCACTCTCGACGACGAAGGACGCCCACGTTCGTACACTCGCGAAGTCTATCGCCGCGAGATTGACCCTGCCTGGAAAGATCCTGACGCACCAGAAGAGCTGAGCGTCAAAGAAGAACAGGAGAAGGCCCAAGCGGAGAAGAGGCAGAAGCTGTATGAGGAGCGCATCGCGGCAGGATGGGACCCAGACACTGCGCACGGCGGATGGGGCAAAGAGCCCGCTGATCCGGAAGAAGGCGCACTCTTGGGTTCCGCAACTGGAGCATGGGGAACCGGCACAACCACCACCGGAGGATGGGGAGACAACGAGCCTCCCGAAGGGGAGCTCACGCAAGAGGAATTAGAGGATGCTGAACAAGAAATGCAAGCTGAGCGCGGCAACGCATCACCTCGAGTCACCATCCCCCTCGGTCGACCCCCACGCACTAGCGAACCACCTCGCTCACCCTATCACTGGCGTGATCCCCGGTCGGAGATTGAGGAGGGGAATATACCTCCAACACCTCCGCGAGACTCACTCGGTCCAATCTCTCGCCCAGATCTATACGCCCGCTTCATCGAAGGCACCACGACCCCGCTCACGATCATTCCCGCTCGCGAATTTCTCGCCCCGTATCTCTCAACGGCACCTGCAGAAGGGGAAGCAACAGCAGAAGCAGAAGCAGAGGAGGCGAACAACGAAGCAGAACCAGGAGAAGCGGAAGAACCCCCGCTCCAGATTCCAGAACTCACAGCGGAGGAGGCAGCAGAGTACCACACCCGCTACAAACGTACTTCCGGCATCCGTGCCGAAGATGACCTCTGGCACCAGCGAATGGGACACCCCTCGCACCAGACACTCGCCAATTGCCTCCATGCAAAAGTCTTTCCGCCAGGAGCACTGCTGCGGCCCGATGGGACGGAGTTACAACACACCACCCCCCACCCAACCACCTGCACAGTTTGCCCCACAGTCGCACTCTCTCACGCTGCCTATCCCTCTCTGGAGCCAAGCACCAACCGCTACAAGAAACTAGAGAAGGTGTACAGCGATTTCATCGTACTCACCTGCGACGGACTCAACGGCGAAAAGTACACGCTGACCTTCATCGACGCCTACTCACGCCACGTGTGGGTTGCCAATGTTGACGCCCGCTCCAAAGCACCGGAGGTGTTCCGTGTCTTCCTCGCGCACGCGCAGCGACAGTCCGGAAGGAAACTGAAGATCTGGCAGAGTGATGGGGCAAAGGAATTTCGCAGCCATGAACTGGAGAGCGTGCTCATTGAGAAGGGAATCAAGCACGAGATTTCCCTTCCCTATGCTCACCAGCAACAAGGCGTTGCTGAGAGGGTCAATCGAACCCTCATGACTAAAGTTCGCGCCATCATGAACCACTCCGGCTTGCCAAAGAAATTTTGGCCGTACGCCATGAATCACGCGGTGCGCCTGCACAACCTTCTCTCAACCACCGCCAACAGGGACAACCTCTCACCCCACATGAAGTGGACCGGATCAAGGGGAGATCCCTCCATGCTGAGGGTTTGGGGGTGCATGGTACAATATCGGCCCACTTCAGCCACAATCGGCAAGTTCGTTCATCGTGCGCGCTGGGGAGTTCATCTCGGACTCAGTCACGAACATAAAGGATGGCTCATCCTTGACATGGACAACCAGGAAATTGTCCCTGCACGTGACATTCTCTTCTACGAGCGACTCACCTTGACGCAGTGGATCGAGGACGAACGCCGTAACCAGGCTCGCAGCTACGCCAACAGCGGCCGCAG